GCATCTGCAACAAGGAGAAACCCATAAAGTCTCTAAGTAGTTTAATATTAATTTTTTAAAAATATTTTAATCTAAGAAATTTGTGTTAATTGTTTATCTCTAATGGTGAGAAACTCAACGGCTTTCTCACTAATATAAATAATATGTTTAAAAAATATTTTATATATGTTGTTAAAAAATCTTTCATTAATATTTTTGTAAAAGCATATAAAATTCGTAATTTTATATTACTAATTTCATATTATTTTTTTTATTTATTTTAGTTAATATCAAGTAAAAAATAATATTAGTATATAATTTCTATGTCCTATATTTTACCACTTTAACTATATATTTTACTATATTTTCTATGCATTTATCTACGGTTTTATACCTTTAAATGTAGTTTTTCTCGTATTTGTAGTTTTAGAGTCTTAACAGGAAAATCAAGCAAAAAGAGCCAAAATAGGTGTAAATCAAGGTACAGAAACTTTCACAAGCCAAAGACACCATCAAGACCAAATAATTCACAAGATACAACATTCTACCAAGTTGGATAGAACATGTATGACAGAAGTTTAGCAGTAAACGGAGAACCAAATCGACTTGGAATTGGATGAAAATTGGTGGACAGAATCGACTTGGAGTTAAATTCATAATGAAGTTTGATTCATCTCAATTGGATCTGTGATCAGATGATACACCAGAATTGCTGAAGATATGTCAAGCTGCCTCAGAAACGAAGCAAGTGCAGAATCAACTCAAACATCGGGCCGCCTCATGGACCTTTGTTCAAGACCGATGCCAGCACGAATCAAGGCACTTTGGAGCCAATACCGGTCAAGTTCTTTGACCGACATTAGCAACCAATTTTGGAGAAGTTTTGACGTAAAAGACCGTTTTGCCCTAAAGTGAACCCTAGAAGACCCTAGACCTATATATACTCGTTTTTAGCCTTTTTTTAGGGATATACCGAAACAATAGAATATTTTTAATCATAAGCAGCAGCCACCACGAGTTTTCTTGGTGTTCTTCATTAGCTTTGGATTTTAGAGCACTTGGTGGATGATCTTGCTTTGTATCTCGATATAGAGAAGAATCATTTATCTTTACTCTTTAATTCAAGTTTATTTATRATGAAMTCATCATCTATCTC